CTGCCACGTACTTCATGAACACGCATCATAACCTTCATCCTCATCGACAAAACGGTATAGTTTGACGATGATAACATAGGACATTGGATGGATGTAGTTCCAAGGTCCTTCGTGCGTGGAGCCATAGTCACGTCCGCCATCTTGCTCGCGTGTACTCTTGGTCACAAGCACCTGGATCAAAGCTTCAACTTAAGCTTAGATCGAGTCTCCAACCTGAAGAGCTCTGATACCAATTCTAATCTCTAGAAACACAAAGGATTATAAGAACGACTTTTCTTATTAGCTTTAGAAACTACTCAAAACTAAAGCTCACAATATGTTTCTCTTAGATCATCTAATCTACTCTCTTAGATCTTATGGAACACCTCTCCATAGATCTCTATTTATATGCAAGATAATACCCTTGAACATGTGGGATATGGAAAACACAAACCTAATCTAATAGAAAACTTCCTTTTCCTATTTCTAGATTTTCTTATTGTGTTTATCTCTTAACATATTAAACATCTAATAATATGTTAAGTTTCCACAAGCTTGGAATTACCCAACAAAATAGAGTAGATTTTATGTGAAATTTTGAAACGTATCATGTTGTTTTGCTCTCATTCAAATATAAACTAGAGAGGTCTACTTCAATAAATAATGTAACGCGAGGGTAATATATAAAACAAGATTCCATTTGCTAAAAAGTACAAGTGACGTGAAGAAGAGGCTAGAAAACTCGCTCTCTTTAAACTTATTGCGTACGTTAAACTAAACTTAAACAAAACTAATTAGAGATCAAACAAGGATTAGTTGCCGTCTGGCTTCGATTCTAAGCTCTTCCTTCATCTTTCTAATAAACTCATCGAACTTCTTGTTCATATCTTCCTCCGTCACCATTCCCACATCATCTTCCTCTTCTCTAGTTTCGCCATTAATATCACACTCCTCCTCTAGATCACCATTGTTTGCTAATGGCTCATCAGATTCTTCTTCTTCTTCTTCTTCTTCTTCGTCTTCATGACCTTCTTTCTCTTCTTCGGTTTCTTGGTCTTGTGTACTAACTTCCTCTGTAAGAAAAGTCTTTGTTCTTCTTTCATGAACAGAGTAATACTCCAGCTTCATCATTTCATCGTAACCATCAAAGTCTCGGTGATCATCAAAGGTTTGATCAGTGGTGCTCTCCTCTACAGAATTTGATGAAGATATTAAACCAGAGTACTTAGCGACGAACACTAAGAGACCATTGCAGACAAGAAACATGTACATCTTATCTACCGCGTGTGTTACGAGTTGAATTGTGAGTTTACATAAATAGAAATTATGAGTGACTAAAAGAGATGAAACCCATATCGAAATCACTATAAACTTGGTCAGTTTCTTCATAAACTCAGGTTTTATTCGATCCATCTCTCGTCTTTTTTTTTCTCTCTTTGCTTTTGTAAGTGAATGATGAAGAAATAAGAGAAAGAAAATGAAAACTCAGCTCAGCTTTAAGACTTGAGAGTGATTGTGCAAAGGTTTACACTCAACATCTTTGGTTATTTATAGAGGTTATAGTAGAAGGTTTTTGTCAATAGGAAGCTGGATTGATTTAACCAAACTACCCCTTTGTTTCTGATGCTGCATGCCACGTGCTTAGGGAGATTTTTTCTCAATTATGTGGAGCAAATTCAATCTACACGCACTACGCTCCCTTCTTTGTCATTAATCTTTGTTTCCTTATGGCATATAATTAGTTTGATTTTGTAGACTTTATTATGAATGTTCCAAAGCTTTTGGCATATTATATGATTTTTTTTTTTTGTAAACTAACACGACATAATCTTGTTCAACCAGCATTACATGTAAATTTATAGATATAGTCATGGTTATAGATATAGTCATGGTTAATACAAATTTCAAACAGAAGGCCCTAGAAGCAATTTCAAGGATGATTGAGTCTTTCAGGTTTCAGTAGCGATGGGCGTGTGGACAATAACTATTCAGAATATGTCATTGTCTTTTAGTAAACTACTTGACAAACCAAAACAAACCGTGTGATACGCAATGAATGTGGAAAAATATGCACATACAGTTATACCCAAACGTGACGGCAACGTCGATAAAACTATATAACACCGAAAAGACTCATTACTATAAATACAAAAGAAAATTAGAGAAAATAACACAGATATTTTGATGTATGTTCATGATCCTTATGCTTATATGGACATGGTTTTCCTGAGGTGTATGATTATATATTCTTCTTAGTTATTCCAGTGTCTTGTAATTACCATATTGATATTGTATATGGTAATGTTAAGAGCAGAACTTCGTAGTTTATTAGTTATGGACTATCTAAACTATTAAAGGGGAAGTACAAATAGTATATATCCCTTAATGTTCCACAAAAATTACAACTTTATGCCATTGAAGTTAAAACACAATAGTTTTGATTAATGTTTAATTATTATTTCGTTGGACTGCTGTAAGCTTTTTTTGCCAACCCATGAAGAGGAATTTCGTTGGCCTGTTAAATAATATAATTATAGACAAATGCATAGTTTATATGTATTACATGTATAGTTATAGATCAGTATTAAAATAAAATAAAAATTAAGTTTAAAAATATGATAAAGTTTTAAAACCTATTTTCTTTGTTTTTAAATTTCATATAAAAATATAAAATAGATAATTTAAATCATTTTTTTAACAATTTGGAATTACGGCATACAATTCAATATACAATGACATTAAAATTAATAAGTGTTTAAATATAATGTAAATTTTAAATTTACAAAAAATAAGATTGATTTACATATTGGATGCCTATCTATTTAACGGTAGCTTCAACTTTTAACACTCATACAATAAGAGAAATATATAACAGCTCACAAATATATATATAACAATACAAAAACATGAAAGTAATTTATGCTATGAATTATAAACTAAAATCTAACAAATGAATCCATTATATGCAATTGTTATATAAAATCATTAAGTTTTTGTGTGTTTTAAATGCTTATATAATTATAAAATAAAATAAAAATTCAAAATACAATAACATTAAAATTAATAGGTGTTTAAATATAATCTAAATTTGAATTTAAATTTTCAATTAAAAAAATCAGATTGAATTACATATTGGATACCCATCTGTTCAAATTAGGGGTGGGACGGATCCGGATATCCGGGATATTTGGGGTATCCGGATCCGGATCCGGATCCGTCGGATCCGTGATTTTAGGATCCGGATCCGGATCCGTGTCTTTCGGATATCCGGATTCCGGATACCCGTCTAGATATCATGATATCCGCGGATATCCGGATTCGGATCCGGATCCGTCAAAATAACTATAAAAAAATAAAAATAATTTTTAAAATGCCCAAAATTCTATAAATATTACATAAATTAAATATATTTACAAAATTTATAAATATATTTATGTATATAATATTATTAAAATTAAAATATAATATTATAAGACTAGTTTTATGTATAAATATTAATAAATGAACTATAATTATTAATAATATTTAAATTTAATATATTTAAAAAATAACGGATCCGGATCCGGATATCCGGACCTAAAAATCCAGATATCCGGATTCGGATCCGGATTCGACGGATCCGACATTTTACTATCCGGATTCGGATCCAGGGAACCCCGGATATCCTATTTTCGGAGCGGATCCGGATCGGATCTTGGATCGGATCCGGATCTCGGATAATAATTCCAGTCCTAGTTCAAATGGTAGCTTCGACTTTTAAAACTCATACAATAAGAGAAATATATAACAACTCACAAATATATATATATAACAGAATACAGAAACATGAAAGTAATTTATGCTATGAATTATAAACTAAAATCTAACAAATTAACCCATTATATGAAAGTGATATCTAAAATCATTAAGTTTTTGTGTGTTTTAAATGTTTATGTAATTAGAAAAAGACATCCGCACGGGTGCGCGGGTCAAGATCTAGTATATACTTATCTATCCAATCATGACTTAGATTTCATTAACCTAGCTACAGTATTTTGACCTTTAAAATACTCCCTTCATTTCAAATTATATGTCATTCTAGAGTAAAATTTTTGTTTCAAAATAAGTGTCGTTTTATAATTTCAATGCAAAATTTATTGATTTTAAATGTTATTCCATTTTTTCATTGGTTGAAAAGTGGTTAGGTGTATAGTTAATTGTGTTTTTATTTTGAAAATATGTAAAATTAATTGTTTTCTTAATATTTATGCAAAACTTTATAATGACAATTAAATTGAAACGGAGGGAGTATAATCTTTAATGCTGTAATATGTTTGATTTTCATATCCGAAACATTAACTTCATTAACATTGAGAGTCTTTTCTCATAGAATTTTTTTCAAGAATAAAAACTGAAAATAAGACGAAAAAGAAAAGAGAACAAAAATTAGTTCTCATACGAATTTTCAAATCTGTTTAGAAAGTACTATATAAGAGCACCCGCAATAGGAAGTCATTAAGGGAAGTCTTTAGGGAAAAAAAAAAAGATATTTCAAATTATAGAAAAATATTTCAGATTTTTTCTTAAAAAAATATTGATCATTCGCGGGCCGCCATGTGGGCAGTGGAGCCCGGGAATAATGTAAGATCAACCTTAAATAAGGTTTTTAAGAATAAAAACTGAAAATAAGACGAAAAAGAAAAGAGAACAAAAATTAGTTCTCATACGAATTTTCAAATCTTTTTAGAAAGTGCACCCACAATAGGAAATGAGAGTCTTTAGGAAAAAAAAGAAAAAGGGTATTTCAGATTATATAAAGATATTTCAGATTTTTTCTTTAAAAAAAGCTGATCATTCGGGGACCGCCACGTGGGCAGTGGAACCCGCGAATACTGTACGGATCAATCCTTAAATAAAGATTTTAAATATAGAATCCTTAACTGTTCTAAAATTAATATTTCTGTAAAACTCCCCTTACAAATTTGTCATTGTGGATGCTCTAAATGGTTAATAATTTGATGAAATATTTTAAAATACATGTTATTTTTTGTGAATGTTCATCCTTCTTTATGAATCTTTTAAACGAAAATGATGTTTAGGCATTGTCATTTTGTCGAAAATGAATCTTTTGTAGCAATTATGCTGTCGCAGTGCAATCAATTTAAAGACAACGACATCAACCACAAAAAAAAGAGAAAAAAATCTAGGATACCCTCCTCGTCTTACTAGATTCTAATATTGGGCTAAATGGGTATTATAAACTGGGCCTTTTGTTGTATCAAGTGGGCTTCCGACAAATTAGTTATCTCATCAATTAAAAAAGACAGAAAATGGTTTCGGATAATGGATAACCCTCGAAACAAACCTGAGGAAGAGGAAACCACATCCTTTGCAGCGTTAAGAGAAGTAAGAAGAAGAAGAAGATAAATCGATTCTTTGTCTGGAAATTCAATGGCGGTTTCTTCTGTAACTTCGTTCATATTACCCTCTTTCGCTAACCATACCTCTTCTACTAGACAGAAAGTCTCTCTGCTTTCATTGCTTCCATCTTCTTCTACTCATGGCGGCATTGGCTCCTGCGTCCTCACCAAACCCTCCACCTCGTTTACGAAGAGGGTCTTCGCAGCTCCCGAAACCCTAACTCCAGAAACTCTCGATGAACCTTCCTCTGAGGATTTCTCCGAGGTACACTCTGTTCCTTTCTCGGATTCTTCGATTTGTTTGCTTAGGGCAATGCGAGAACACATGTTTTGTAGTATCATTAGCGTATCGTATCTATTTTCTTATGTATCTGCTAGAGAAAGCTGCTTCCTTTATGTGTGTTAGTGTTTGTTCTGTTATAAAGTTTACTCCTTTTTTTTGTTTCTGTGTGTCATTCAGGTTCCAAGCTCTTCCTCCATCAGTGTAGACGCAGATAAGGTTGGTGTTCTGTCTCCATCTTCGTCAAATCAATAGACTTTTTTGGTTTTACATCACTCTTAAGATGTCTTCTGTGTATTAAGAAATGACATTAAGTAGATAGTTTTCAGACCACATCATCTTTAGATGTGAATGTTATTGTGTTTACTTACTAAGATAAGACTTATGTTTTGTTTGGAGGTTTTGTAGAGATTCCTTGTTTTTATTTGGTTTAAGTTGATTTATTTTATTGTTAGATGGCGCCGAAGCAAAAGATTAGGATCAAGCTTAGATCATACTGGGTGCCTCTCATTGAGGACTCATGCAAGCAGATACTTGACGCTGCGAGGAACACCAACGCCAAGACCATGGGTCCTGTTCCATTGCCAACAAAGAAGCGTATCTACTGTGTTCTCAAGTCTCCCCACGTTCACAAGGATGCAAGGTTCCATTTTGAGATCCGGACTCACCAGCGGATGATTGATATTCTCTACCCTACTGCTCAAACCATCGACTCCTTGATGCAACTGGATCTTCCTGCTGGTGTTGATGTGGAAGTTAAACTCTGAAAGATCAACCGTTTACTACAATGGTAAACAACAATGGCTCTTTCCTTTTCTTGAATGCAAAAATCTTCATCAAAGTATAATTTACCTTGCAATAAATATCTTGATGATTGTTCTTAACCAAAGTTTTTTTATTCCTCAGAGGTGTGAGCACTGTCATTGCATGAACAGAGTGTTTCAGATCAACCACATCTGCTTAGAATTGGTAAACTATGTATGATCCTTTTGGGAGCCTCTGTAATGAAATATTATCTGGTCCTAGCAAAGTTGGATTCTTTTAATCTTCCTTGTTATTAGTTGATGAACAAATCCGCAAGTAACCAAGTTCAAAGAAATCTTTTGCTTGTGTGTGTATACTAATTGTTTTGCCGTCAGTGTTATGATTTAACTAGTTGATTTTGATAAACTCTTAAAAAGTTAAATTATATCAAAAAGAAAATTTATTTATTATTATATATTTATTATTTTCATTAATATTTAATATAATTTTGATTTAATTAAGCATAAAAATAAGAAAAATAATTTATTTATTTTAAAATATATTTAATAATATATATATAATATATTTAAAATTTCAATCTTAGAATTCTTTTTATCTAATTATTTTGGTTAAATGTATTAAACCAACTTGTATAAAATTATTAAGAAAATTCATATAAAAATTGTACAGTTATTAAAAATTATAACTAAACAATATTTATAAAATTTCTCGATATCTAAAAGAAAATAATATATTACGATTAAAAATTAATTATTTTTTTAAAAGATGTAGAAGATGATGAAAATATTAGTAATAAAAATTGTATAATTATAATAGTATCTAAATAACATTTCAGAAATTATAATGCATATTTTAATATATTTATCTTTAGTGACCATTTGATTTATGAATTATTACCATATTTTAAAAAATTTACCAAAAATATATAATCAACATTACATGTAATCTATCGGTTATATATTCTGTAAAATTTACCAAAAAATATATATCAGTAATAAATGTAATTTTATAGACGCTATATTTAACTATAAACTCTGTTATCAATCTTAATAATCATGTCATCATTAAAAATGATTGTAGAAAGGACATGTGACAAATCATTTTGCAAATAATATATAAGATATTATCAATAGGTTTCCTCTTGTATTAGTGGAATCTTTATATGAATATAAATATGACCAGGAATGAGAAAAACATACAGGTTGAGATTTAAAAATGAGGCATTTAGGGTCTTGAAAGCAACTTCATTGTTATTAACTTATAATATGAGTCATATGACCAATAGGGCGATAGCTAAGTTTATCCACAAACTTAATGGGGGTGTATAATGCCTTGGAATTATGCATAGATATTCAGCTAACCTATATATTTAACTTAGAGATTATTGCAATCATACGTACACAGCTATATGTTTATATATTTAAATCATAAATTAAATGTTTTTTGTTTTAATAATCGAAGTATTACTTCATTGTGGGATCATCTCATAACCCAAAAGAATGGTCGACAAAATTGAAATTAATTTAAGTGGAGGAGACAATGACGGGCCTGTTTTTATAATAGTCGCCAAAGTTGAGGCATATTCCCATGATATACCAACACGGACCGTCCATTTTATTTATTTAATTTTACTCATATTATAGTTCTTTTTTTTAAAAAAAATGTTCGAATAGAAGAATACTATTACTTTTTGAAACAGTACATAGATCATACACACATTACACAATACGGCCTGCTTCAATAATTTTATATTCTCCAAGATACATAGTATAAAATACCCAAGATTAGTGCCAGTTTGGGTTGTTTGCATGCCATTTGCATAAAAAAATAGAGAAATATCTTATGATAATAGTAAAATATGTTTTTGTTCTAAAATAGCATATATATAAATCAATATCAAAAAAGTGACATTCGATATAAATATATGTTTCACTACATTTTATTTGACAACTCCACTGTTTTGACTTTGTGGGTGCAATTCAGTACCGATCCTGAGGGGAAGCATTACAAGCAACCGCTTCCGGTTCTAAAAATATATTTGAAAATTTCAGTCTTTTTTTAAGAAAATTATTATTATAGTATATAAACATTCTTATAAAAATGGTCAATTTTTAAAAAATTGCTTCTGGTCTTTCTCATGTCAGGACCGATACTGACCAAAAATCTCAAATGGGATTGAATATATGTGGTTATGTGATGGCAACACTAGCATGAGCTACCATATTATCAACCTTTTTTTTTCTTTTTTTTTTCAAAATTCGAACCTGAGACATTGTAGACATCAACCGAACAGTCTAAACCAACCAACCTCGTTAAAGGTTCCATATTATCAACCTTTTATGATATACCCGAAGAAATACATTTGGATCCCTCTCAACTTGTAGTTGATTTCGTTACGTTAAGTCCTTATCGTCCAAGAAAGAACCAATCCCAATCGAAAACCAACAGGTATAGTTTTAGAAAGCATCAAATAAAACAGTGTCTTGTGTTTTCTAACACTCCAAGAGGCAATCTTTTCAATGGCTGAAACTGAAAGGAAACATAATATACTCCCAATATAATACAACAAAAGAACACACATGTTTCATATCGTTTCTTTTGGGTTTTAGCAAAGTATTTCGAAAGTCATAGTTGTTGCAAAGTTATTGGGGTTAGGGGTCCTAACTGATATCCCCTAATTAATCAGCTTTGCTTTCTTTTTAGTTACCATTTAAGAGAAATAAAAGACCTTTTTGTTTGTGATGGCATCTACTAAACTATGAAGAACAATTAAGTATTTTCAAACCATATCACTTGGATATAATTTAGTTACTCGTTTATTGTCATTTATCATATAAAGTTGCCAATTATTTAACACACAAGTGCATGTCATTTTGAAGTCAAATAAGTATTAAGTAATTATGTTCATAATATAGTCTAACTGATTAGAGAGAGAAATGAATGACAATGAGAGTATGTTCGACAGTGACTTTAGAAAATGGTAGCCTTCAAGGGAACGATGGCTTCACGGATCTATAGACAAACGAAGTCGTTTGTCACTGCATACGTCACTTTACTTCTCCATCGTTCATCTTTTTATTTCTACATATTTTAAAGGCTTGTTCTTTTTTTTTTTTTTTTAATTACACACACTACAAAAAAATGATGATATTGTTACTAAATTTTGATACAAAAACTACTTGTCACAAATTTGTGACATCTTAGATACATCACTGTGACTAAATTTTTGTGTCACAGTTGAGTTGCTCATTCGACACAATATTGTAACGATTAAAATTGTATCCAAATTTTGTCACCATCAATGACAAAATTGGGACAAAATTAACAATCGTAACAATTGTGACAAACTTTTGACTATATATTCGTCATAACTTAGTTATGAGTTTGTGATGGAATAAATAGTATCAACTTACGACAATGTATTGTTAAAATAACGTTTCTAATTGGTACGTGTCGAAGACAAATAATATTTTAATAATTATGAACTAATATGTGTAACAAATCGTCATAGTTATAGACTGATTTATAATGTTTTATGTAGTCAAAAATTTAGACAAATAATTTTTTATATTTGTTTACATGCGTCTCATATACATGAAAGATTTTTGAACGTACTTTCTCTCATACTAATTGAAAGTGTTGTTCTTTACTATCCAATTCAAATGTGTTTTAGAAATTCGGTTCAAAAGTATTATAACTTATGTAAATCAGGTTTGAGAGAAAACTATACGTATAATAGTTTTCTTATTAGATAAAGATCATATGTCAAAATGATTAAAATAGAAAATACCAAATAATTCTGTTGAACTAGAAAAATGTCATGAAACATTGATTTGAACCCGATCATATATGCAAAGCGGAAACCGATTACACCAAAAAAAAAACTATTTAAAAAATAACGTAGGTATGATGTATCTCAAGCTGAAACTCTTAAAACTAATTAGAGTCCATTAACCTAGAAGCCCTAAACTATAACTAGGATATACCGCGTGTATATATTTCCTCCAAAAGAAAAGCAGCAGCCGCCACCTTAGAGAGAGCGAGGGAGGGAAAAGGGAGAGCTAGCTAGATAGATGTGCATTGCTTGAAAACTCGCTAACTTCCCCAACCTTCTTTTTATTTCCAGTACGGAACTATTTCCAATCTGTGAAAATTTAAGCTTTACGATCTTTCTGTAGTAGTGTCGCAGATGTGTTAACGTTTGGATTTTCGGTTTTTTTTTTATGTTTTCTGATGCAGTAATGATGGCCGGAGGTCTTGTTCAAAGTCTCACCTACGGCTTTGGATGTCTTGCTACCAGCCGATGGATCCTACAAAGGTTGGTTTCTCTACAAATCCACAGTCTAATTTCTGTTTTGTCACATATTCTAGTGTTCCTTAGTTAACTTGATTTAGGATGTTTCACCACAGTTTTTTTTCTGATTATGTCTTCTATTGCTCGTTAAAACTCAGGGTTTGTATGTTTAGTTGTCATCACTAATAGTTTCCGGCATTGTGGAGGCATGTGTATCACGCCCTTGGGAATGTAGCAAGGAGAGTACGAAAGCAATCATGAAAGTGAATGAAGAAGAAGGCATATCTTGGGCATTGGTCTGGAAGTCAATAAAACAGATCTGAGGGTCAAAGACCTCTGCGAGCAGATTTGAGCCATTGCTGATAAAACATCCAAGAAGATTTTAGACAGACACAATTAAAGGTTACATCAGAGAGTTGCATCATCACCAGAGTTTGTAAACCTTAGCCATAAACCTTAGCCGTCATACCTTTTGCTTCCGGTGCAAGAATCAACAGAAGTAAACATCAGGAAGCCCTAATTCAGAATAACATGAAGCTAAAATGTAGTCGTATTTTAGAATATTCTTTTATTGTTGCTTTTATAAATAATTTTCAAATATTAGTTTATTTTGTATTTTTTCCTTGTTACAAATATTTTAAGTACAGCAATAAAGCAGTAATTTAAGAATTCTGAAAACTTTCGAGGTAACAAATTATTAACTAATTAAGTCAAAAGTCTAATGATAATTATTGATGAAATATAACAGAAGTAATAGAATTTTGTGACTATATTTAGTGCTGATTTATAGTTTTAATTTGTTGTCGTTTGAGACTTTATTTTAGTGGTAATTAGAGAATGAATTAAGACATTAGTACGGTCACATAATATGAGAAATTTGCGATGTGAATTATAGTTGGTAATTGTAACGGTTTATTACTTTTGTATATGGTCACTATTTGTGACAGAATAGTTACTCTATACAGTAGTCATAACAATGTGACGTTTTTTGTTACAGATCAAATTTGTGACACTTGTATTGTAACCGTTTGCAAATTGTCACAAATACGTAACTATAGCTCTATTGTGACGAATTATTTTCTATTGTGACAAAAAATATTGTCACAATATAACTATTTTCTTGTAGTGACAAGTATACATGTCTAAAAATAGGGTTTTACAGTGAGAGTGAAAAAAAAGGTCTAGATTTACTTCTATCAAATATGATATTTAGTTCGAGCTTTTTTATTAAACTGACTAATATATGATAAGTTGAATCAGAACAGTGTGTACCTGGATGTAGCATTCATTCACGTTTACAGTCAAATAAAAAAGATTTTTTCATTTAAATATTATTTTCGGATGTCGTTATAGAAAACTAGTAAAAACAAAAAACAGAAGAGGTTGATGATAAGCAAAAAAAAGTAGGTGTCACTGAAAAGAGCATGTGATTAAATACATATACACAAAAACTATTGACCACAATTAAACTGATAAAAAACATGTGGTGTGTGTTAGTTTAACCCGTAGACAGACGCTCTTGAATTTTGAATTACACAAAGAAAAAATGAACAAACTGACACGGCTTTTATTTAAGGGTAAAAATTAACCACACCAAATTTATAATTAAAATAATGTTATGTTTTGAATATTTAAAACCACACGAAACACAAAATCAGTAACGAAATGAGTGACTACAGCAAAACGTATTTTGAAATAAAAATCTAAGATTCAGGTCACATATATGAAAATCATCACATGGAAGGGAAAAAAGCTAATCACTTGTACTTCTCTTTTTTTTTCTTTTCTTACAAAAGTTCAGCATTTTTAATGATAGATTATTATTTACTTTGAGACTTTTGAGTGATATAGCTTTACTGTAATAAACTTATTACCAAATTTTCATCCTATCACCACTAAAAATTGAAATTATAGAACAATAAAAGTAAATGCCACCCCAGTCCCAGTAAAAAATTACCTTAATTACCAATGATGTAACAATTAAATTAGGTCTAATTTTCCTCTTGTAAAGGAGCCGAGAGTGATGGAGAGAAAGAAACTCCAAAAATATAAATTGATGTCATCCTCCAGTTTTCGTGTAGATATTAAAAAGAAGAAAAACTCTTTTTTTTTTTCGGTAAGCCAAGAAAATTTCCAATGTTCCCGGTCACAAGTCGCCGCCACTTCACATCCTCCCTATATATCCTCCGTTCATCTTCTCCACACAACCATCTCCTCTACTCTTCCTTCATCTCCTCCTCCAAATCCAAACCCTCTTTCACAACCAAACCCAACCAACAAAAACCTCCTCAAATGGCCGCGTGCATCGACACGTGCCGAACCGGAAAACCAAACCAATCTCCCAGCAACAACGACGAATCCAATTTCCGTTACTCCAATTACTACCTCCCCTCCAATTACCACCACCACCACCCTCAATCAACCCAAACCAAAACCCTCCACACAACCCGTCCCCTCCAAAACGACGACGTATGGGACAAAATCCGACAAGAAGCCAAATCCGACATCGAGAGAGAACCAATCGTGTCCGGTTACTACCACGCTTCAATCGTATCCCAACGTTCTCTCCAGGCAGCTTTAGCCAACACACTCTCCGTGAAACTCAGCAACCTAAACCTCCCGAGCAACACACTCTTCGATCTCTTCAACACTGTCCTCGAACAACACCCGGAGATCGTCGAATCCGTGAAACAAGACCTCTTAGCTGTCAAAGAGCGAGACCCCGCTTGCATCAGCTACGTCCACTGCTTCCTCCACTTCAAAGGCTTTCTGGCCTGCCAGGCCCATAGAATAGCCCACGAGCTTTGGGCCCAAAACCGTAAAGTTTTAGCTTTACTAATCCAAAACAGAGTCTCGGAAGCCTTCGCTGTAGACTTCCACCCCGGGGCGAAGATAGGGACGGGGGTGTTGCTGGACCACGCGACGGCGATTGTGATCGGAGAGACGGCGGTGGTGGGGAACAACGTGTCGATTCTGCATAACGTGACGCTGGGAGGGACGGGGAAGCAGTGTGGGGATAGGCATCCGAAGATTGGGGACGGGGTTTTGATAGGAGCTGGGACGTGTATTTTGGGGAATATTACGATTGGGGAAGGGGCGAAGATTGGGGCGGGTTCGGTGGTTTTGAAGGATGTGCCGCCGAGGACGACGGCGGTGGGGAATCCGGCGAGGTTGCTTGGTGGGAGGGATAATCCGAAGAGGCTTGATAAGGATCCGGGGTTGACTATGGACCAGACGTCGCATATAACGGAGTGGTCGGATTATGTTATTTGAAGAGATATGTGTTTTTTGTTGTTTTATTTGGTGTTTCGGTAATCAGATTGTTTGTGTTTGTAAGATATTTGTCTGGTTTAAGATGGGTGGTTGGAACTAAACTCGGAAACTTTAAACTGATGTGTGGTTTGGAGTTTTTTTTCCTGTGGTTTGTTTCTGATTAGCAGAGACTTTTAAGAATATGTTTAGTTTATGTATGTTGTGTTGGCAATAAACCAAAAGTTTTTCATTTTATCATCCTCTTTGAGTTTTGTTTTGTTTGCTAATAGTGCAATTCGTTGGCAGACGCAGCTCTGCAGGCTCAGCTTTCTGCGTCTGAGGCTCAGTTTTCTGCCTTTGAGGCTCAGTTTTCTACCTCTGAAGCTGCAGCTGCGTGTCATGTGCATAAGTTGTTGTTCGTTTTGACACAAGTTGTTGTTTGTTTTGTAGACGTGGCTCAGTTTTCTGCCTCTGAGGCTCAGTTTTCTACCTCTGAAGCTGCGTCATGTTCATAAGTTGTTGTTCGTTTTGTAGACGCGGCTGCGGGATTTTACGGCATCAATTTCAGCATCCGTGGCGATTAGAGGCAGATACCTGCATCAATCAAACGAACAAATTTTTTGAAATAATTCGCCGGCAGGCGCAGACATAGGTACCTGCGGCAACCAAATGTAATTGCTACAGCTTTTTGGAAGATTTCAACAAGACCAATCAAGAACTAGGATCAATACGAACGTACATATGATTATGTAAGTGTCATCTATATCTGTTGACATTTGTTTTAGCGTATGTGGTACGCAACTATAGCGACATGTTGTCCTGCTCTATAGTGGGGGTTTAGGTAGGAATCGATATTTATAAGCAGAGAGGTCTTGGTCTTTTTGGTTTTGTCTTGGAGTAGTTTTCAGAAAATTGTTGGTTTTGTTCACAGAAAATACACAAGAAAGTTCTGCGAATGAGGGTTTATGCATTTTAAATAGTGGTTGTGGATAATTTATTATTGACTGAAATGGAATTGTCTTCGAAGTAATATATTTATTGACGCAGTTGCCTATCTATATATATATGTTGTTCATCGTGAGAGACTTAAACATTTTTTTCTCGTCTCTGTTCCCTTACGAAACAGAGTTACACGATGGACATTTCTGTTGATTTTCTCCTCCTTGAGTCCATCTACTTTCCAATGTTCTCTATTTTCTTTAATTTGGTTTTGTTGTTGGGTATGTTTGGATCCTGGGTTTACCAAAAAACGGTGGCTTGTGAAAATAATGATGGTGTCATGACTCAGAGTTTTAAGAAAACGTCTTTAACGTACAATAAACTAGTCGTTGTATGTTGTGTCGTTTTCTCTGCCTTGAGTTCTGTGTTGTTGCTGTCGAGTTGCTTCCACCTGCATGCAAATGGTTGGGATCGCAGCAAACTAATGAATCTTTTAGATCTTCTGTTTGCAGCTCTTTCGTGGAGTGCCATCTCTTTCTACCTGTGTAGAAATTATCTTTCAACTCAGAAGATTCCTCTTCTGCTTAGAGTCTGGTGGGTTTCCTTTTTCATGGTTTCTTGCTGCGGTCTTTCTGTAGACATTGTCCTATACAAGAAGCAAGAACTGGAGTCTGTTCACCTTTTAATATATCATGCAGTGGCTGTTACCGTGGGGTTGTTTCTCTGCTATTCATGTTTGCAGAAGAAGCAAGGAGAAGGTGAAAAGATCAACCTACTCGAAGAACCGCTCTTGAATGGAGCCGAAGAAGATAATGAGGTTATTACACCTTTCTCTAACGCTGGGTTTCTAAGCCACATGAGTTTCTCTTGGATGGGTTCTTTAATCGCCTTGGGAAATGAGAAAATCATAGACAGCGAGGATGTTCCTCAAGTTGACGATAGTGACAGAGCTGAGAAACTGTTTTGTATATTTAGGAGTAAGCTTGATTGGGACGATGGTGAAAGAAGGATCACCACGTTTAAGCTTATCAAGGCACTCTTCTTTTCAGCGTGGCGAGATATTCTGTACTCAACTCTGTTTGCTTTTGTCTACACGATATCTTGCTACGTTGCACCGTATCTCATGGACACTTTCGTCCAGTACCTGAACGGTAACAGACAGTATCCAAACGAAGGGTTTGTTTTAGTGACAACTTTCTTTGTTGCTAAGCTTGTGGAATGCCAAGCAAGGAGAAACTGGTACTTCAGGTTGCAGAAAGCTGGGATTGGAATGAGATCGGTTCTGGTCTCAATGATCTACGAAAAGGGCTTGACCCTTCCTTGTCACTCGAATCAAGGACACACCAGCGGCGAGATCATAAATCTCATGACGGTTGATGCAGAGAGGATCAGTGCTTTTAGTTGGTATATGCATGATCCTTGGATACTTGTCCTACAAATCAATTTAGCCTTGTTGATCTTGTACAGAAGCCTTGGGCTAGGATCAATTGTAGCTTTTGCTGCAACTTTTTTAGTTATGCTTGGGAACATTCCCTTGGCCAAGTTGGAAGAGAAGTTTCAAGGAAATTTAATGGAGTCTAAAGATGAGAGGATGAAGAAGACATCGGAGGTGTTACTAAACATGAGGATTCTTAAACTTCAGGGATGGGAGATGAAGTTTCTTTCTAAGATTCTTGACCTTAGACGCATTGAAGCAAGCTGGCTTAAAAAGTTCGTGTATAACTCGGCGGCTATCAGCTCTGTTCTGTGGGCTGCACCTTCTTTCGTGTCAGCAACAGCTTTTGGCGCTTGTATGCTTCTGAAGATCCCCCTTGAATCAGGAAAGATACTAGCGGCTCTTGCAACGTTCCGCATTCTGCAAACTCCAATCTACAAACTTCCAGACACAATCTCGATGATTGTTCAGACAAAGGTATCTCTTGACAGGATCGCAACTTTTCTCTGTCTTGATGATTTGCAGCAAGATGTTGTGGAGAGACTTTCTAGTGGAAGTTCAAAAATAGATGTGGAAGTCAACGATGGTGCTTTCTCTTGGGATGAATCTTCTCCCATCCCAACGCTGAGAGACATAAACTTCAAAATCCCTCATGGGATGAACGTTGCAATATGTGGTACCGTTGGTTCAGGAAAGTCAAGCTTGCTCTCATCCATACTTGGTGAAGTTCCCAAGGTATCTGGAAATCTCAAGGTTTGTGGAAGTAAAGCATACATTGCACAGTCGCCTTGGATCCAGAGTGGGAAGGTGGAAGAGAACATTCTGTTTGGTAAGCCAATGCAAAGAGAATGGTATGAAAGGGTGCTTGAAGCATGTTCTTTGAATAAAGACTTGGAGGTGCTTCCGTTCCGTGATCAGACGGTGATTGGGGAAAGAGGTATCAATCTAAGTGGTGGACAGAAGCAGCGGATACAGATTGCACGTGCTTTATACCAAGATGCAGATCTTTATCTGTTTGATGATCCTTTTAGTGCAGTAGATGCTCACACTGGTTCACATCTCTTCAAGGTAACAACTGTTTTCGATTTGTTGTTCTATACACATCGTGATCTGATCTCTAATCCTTATTTTTCTCTCTGTAACAGGAAGTCCTACTGGGGATTCTGAGAAACAAGACAGTCATATACGTTACTCATCAACTTGAGTTCTTGCCTGAAGCTGATCTTATACTGGTTTGGGACTTATTCGCTTTACTGTCTTTACAATGAATTATTAGATGAATACTGATGATATTGGATAAATCATTTTGGTAGGTCATGAAAGATGGGACGATCACGCAAGCGGGAAAGTACAACGAGATTCTTGACTCAGGAACCGATTTTATGGAACTTGTAGGAGCTCACACTGATGCCTTAGCAGCAGTTGATTCGTTTGAAAAAGGATCTGCTACAGCACAACCAACTACAAGCAAAGAAAACAAAGTGTCCAATGATGAAGAAAAACAAGAGGAAGATTTGGCTACCCCAAAAGGACAACTAGTTCAAGAAGAAGAGAGGGAGAAAGGCAAAGTTGGTTTCACTGTATACCAAAAGTATATGTCACTGGCTTATGGAGGAGCACTTGTGCCTATTATAGTGGTCGTACAGTCTCTCTTTCAGATTCTAAACATCGGTAGCAACTATTGGATGGCATGGGTAACTCCTGTTTCTCAGGATGTGAAACCTCCGGTGAGTGGCTCCACGTTGATTGTAGTCTATGTAGTTCTAGCCACTGCAAGCTCCTTTTGCATACTTATTCGAGCACTGCTGGCTGCGATGACTGGTTTCAAGATAGCTACTGAACTCTTCAACCAGATGCATCTCCGCGTTTTTCGTGCCTCCATGTCATTCTTTGATGCAACTCCAATCGGGAGAATTTTGAATAGAGTAAGAGAACTCTCTATGCGTATTGAATGACAATACTGATACAAACTCCTTTTTCTGATCACTGTGGTTTCAATCTTTAGGCTTCTACAGACCAAAGTGCCGTGGATTTGAGATTACCAAGTCAATTTTCGAATCTTCTTGTTACTGCTATCAACATTTTGGGGATTATCGGAGTGATGGGACAGGTTGCTTGGCAGGTTCTTATTGTCTTCATCCCTGTCATTGCTGCATGCACCTGGTATCGAGTATGTATTCTTCTTAACACTGACACACTTAGATCAAAGCTTAGCTTCATACTTTGGCTTGCAGACTATTCAATGTGTATACTCCTACCAACTTTCTTAAGAGTCTCACGTAGATCTTTGATATTAATTAACATATGTATGCAGCAATATTACATATCTGCGGCTCGGGAACTGGCAAGACTATCTGGAATAAGCAGGTCGCCTTTGGTACAGCATTTTTCAGAAACACTTTCAGGGATAACAACTATCAGGAGCTTTGATCAGGAACCAAGATTCCGAAGTGACATCATGAGACTTAACGATTGCTATTCTCGACTAAGGTTCCACGCCATTTCTGCAATGGAGTGGCTCTGCTTCCGCCTTGATCTCTTGTCTGCTGCTGCATTTGCGCTTTCACTTGTTATCTTAGTTTCTATCCCGGAAGGAGTCATAAATCCAAGTAAAAAGTTACCTCCCTCTTATCATTATTTTTCTTTCTTTGTATCCATTCACAACTAAAATCTTCTATGTATTCTGGTTGTTAAAGGCTTTGCAGGATTAGCCGTTACATATGCACTCAATCTGAATAGTCTGCAAGCCACGCTAATATGGACACTTTGCGACCTTGAGAACAAAATGATATCTGTGGAGAGAATGCTTCAGTACATAGACATCCCTAGTGAACCGCCTCTTGTGATTGAATCAACTCGGCCTGAAAAATCATGGCCTTCTTGTGGAGAGATTACTATTTGTAATCTACAGGTAACTGAACTCTGTTTCTTCTTTCGTCCTCATGACTTTAAAGTTCTTTTGACTAATGTATACTACTACACAGGTAAGATATGGGGCACATTTGCCTATGGTGTTGCGTGGATTGACTTGCACTTTTCCTGGAGGCTTGAAAACGGGTATTGTTGGAAGAACAGGATGTGGCAAATCCACTCTAATTCAAACCCTTTTTAGGATTGTGGAACCAACAGCAGGAGAGATCAGAATCGATGGAGTTAACATCTTGACCATTGGGTTACACGACTTGCGTTCTAGACTAAGTATCATACCTCAAGATCCAACCATGTTTGAAGGCACGGTTCGTAGTAACTTGGACCCTCTTGAGGAACACACTGATGACCAAATATGGGAGGTTCGAAGACTCTTCTTTCTTTTGCAGATAGTAAAAGGAAGCTTCTCACACTTTTTTGGTTTCCTTTTCTAGGCACTTGACAAGTGTCAGCTCGGGGATGAAGTAAGGAAGAAAGACCTAAAGCTAGATTCCCCTGGTTAGTACTAATAAAACTATTGAATCTCTCAAACACATTTTTCTTAATGAAAGGAATCTCTTCTTGTATATCAGTTAGCGAGAATGGACAGAACTGGAGTGTTGGTCAGAGACAACTAGTGTGCCTGGGACGAGTCTTGCTGAAGAGAAGCAAAGTATTGGTTCTTGATGAAGCCACTGCTTCCGTAGATACTGCCACTGATAATCTAATCCAGGAGACCCTGAGGCAACACTTTCCGGATTGTACAGTGATAACAATCGCACACAGAATATCATCAGTTATAGACAGCGACATGGTCCTGCTCCTAGACCAAGGTCCTAAACTTCATATGATCATAATACACTTATACAACGCTTCTTTTTTTTTGTATGAAGATTTGTTTTAACATCTTCTCTGTATCTTATGTGCAGGGCTTATCAAAGAACATGATTCACCAGCGAAATTGCTTGAAGACAAGTCATCTTCTTTCTCAAAGCTTGTGGCAGAATATACAGCGACTTCGGACTCCAGATTCAGAAGAAGCTGCTAGAATTTAAAAACAAAAAACAAAAATCAGACACAAACGACTATGTTTGTCATGTTTCTACCCAAAATTGAACTAAAGTTTGTAATGAAAAACGTTGATGTTTGTGTCTTTGTGATATATAAAAAAAATATCCTTTTTAGAAGAAGTTGCTTTAGTGGTTGGTGGGGAAGATATTCAAGATAGGGTTATTAGTGTCATTTAACAATCTCAACCACTTGCTCATGGTCTGAAAAAACAATGTGTCGGAGGAAAGGCGCAGCCTTTTTTGTCTCCGCAATATCACCATCTCGGCCTTTCGCTACCGGAGGGGTTTCCTCTTTTCAGTTATGAGCCTTTAGCTTACAGTTTCAATTTCAAACTCACCATTTTGTTTTTGAGCAAAGATATAACTATAATACCTTCTTATGTATCAACTCTACACGCTTCTTAGCCATTAGAGAATTGATTGAGTTAAGGAGGAGCCGTCTTGTCTTTCCTTCATACTTTGGTTTCTTGGTGGCTCTGCTTTTGTCTTTTAGGGTTTTTTTTTCTAGTATCTGATTATTTATGACGGGTATGGTGGCACTTGAGTTATCGGTTCTGGGTAGGTCTGTTGTTAGCGCAAAAGCCTCAAACTTGAAGAGATATGGTCAAAAATCAAACCTTTCTGGTAGACTTCTCTCAAGAGCTGAGCTGCACTGCCCTGTGTTGTCTAAAAACTCCAGTTTGAGTTTTAGATTTAGACGAAGTTGTGAACTTAGCAGCTACAGAAGTAGTCGCTTTATGCTGTTTAGCTCGAGTCAATGTCACGATGGGAGTCAGCAGAGTTCGGATTCTGGGGGAAAAGAGCTGGAGTTGATTAAGGTTTTGCTGAAGCGTGGGATTGTTATAGGAGCTGTGGTGTGTGGAGTTTATTTATATGGATGTCAGAAGGTGTTGGCATCAAGCGGTGTGGTGGAAACAGGGTATGAGGTGTTTGGTCAGAGCTTAGTATTGTTCAAGAATGCTTTGCCGAAGATTTACCAGGTTCTTAGGGTTCTTAGAGAGCAAGGTCTGATATTGGCTGCACTGCTCAGCCTCTCAGCGTTCTTCTCTATGGCAGAGACGTCCATTACCACTCTGTGGCCTTGGAAGGTAAAATCTTGTCTCAGTTCTGATTGTGAGTTCCTTTTGTGTGGTTTAGTAGTGCTAATGCTGAAAAATTGTAGCATTGACTTGTTTTGAATATTTATATTCTCTTTACTGGAAGCTAAATTTGATTGTGAAACTGCAAGATTTTTTGGCAATAATATGTTGTTTTTAAGTTAGTAAACTTCCATGGATATTAGATTTGAGATTCTTTTGAACAAAGATGTTATCCCTGGTTGTTTATTGAGAGCACATTGTGTCATCTCATGTCTCCTTTCTGGTCTCTAATGTTCTAGTTCACTATTGGTTCTAAAAGTATATATGTTTGATGTGCGGTTCATATAAGGTGCGTGAGCTGGCTGAGAAAGAGCCAGAGAATGGTGTATTCAGAATGCTCCGTAGTGATGTTACCAGATTCTTGACGACTATTCTTATTGGAACAACGTACTGTCTTTTCTCCTAGATGCAATTTGTTTTCTTATATAAGATTGCTTGAAAACATGTATCTTATCTTTGGTCTTGTGGTTGATTTTTAGTGTTGTGAATATTGCGGCAACTGCCCTGGTCACTGAAGCAGCAACAGCTATATTTGGGGAAGCTGGTGTTAGTGCAGCCACTGGACTGATGACGGTACGTATAGTTATTTCAGTACTTTGCCATATCTGTTAACTTTTAGATCCTTTAGTGTGGTTTAGTACTTGATGTTCGTTGATCATCATCATTGCTTCCTAAGCTGTTATTTTTACATGGCTATATAGGTGGCTATATTACTCCTGACTGAGATTACTCCAAAAAGTGTTGCGGTGCACAATGCTCAAGAAGTTGCAAGGATTGTGGTAAGCTTGAATCAACTGGCATTGGTTTAGTTTAACAAACTTATGAGCATACATGACGTATGATGTCTCACTGTGCATCTAGGTCAGGCCAGTGGCGTGGCTTTCCTTAGTATTATATCCTGTCGGAAGAATTGTCACATATCTGTCAATGGGAATACTGAAAATTCTTGGTTTAAAAGGACGGAGGTATGCATCAGCTTAGACTTGTTTTAGTATCTCTTATAGTTTACGACGTGTTAAATAAAAAGTATATTTGATTTGGTTTGCTGCATTGTCATACCCTTCTCTTTGTTGAAAGTGAGTAGCTCCGAGTTATAATCTCTTGTTTTCCGTGTGTTTCAGCGAGCCATATGTTACTGAAGATGAGTTGAAGCTGATGCTACGGGGTGCAGAGTTAAGTGGCGCCATTGAAGAAGAGGAGCAGGTTTAGTTTTTTTCGTTTAATAATCTATACAATATCTACATTTGTTATAATGATTGCTCTTGCAGGATATGATTGAAAATGTGCTGGAGATCAAAGATACACATGTTCGAGAGGTGATGACTCCTCTTGTTGATGTAGTTGCAATTGACGCCAGCGGCAGTCTAGTTGATTTCCATAGCATGTGGGTGACCCATCAGTACTCGAGGTAAAAACAAATTTCCAAAGCCTTCTTTCTGAATCCTTTTCCTTTCCTAAGGGATGTTTGATCACACGCTCAAATGTTTTCTTTTCAGGGTGCCTGTTTTTGAGCAGCGTATAGATAATATAGTGGGAATTGCATATGCTATGGATCTTCTAGATTATGTTCAGAAGGTTTGACTTGTCTGTTTCTTGCTTTCAGTATCTCTTAATACTTGTTTCATTTAGCGTATTGGTGGTGTAGAATGAAATATATCTTGTTTGATTCTTGAAGGGTGATCTGTTAGAAAGTACTTCTGTGGGAGACATGGCACATAAACCTGCTTACTTTGTCCCCGGTAATCATCTATGTATTTGCTTTTAGTTTAAATACATACTTTGTCAAACGTTAAAACTATTAGCACTTCACAGGGAAGAAATATAATGATATTCTATGTGTTATATTTTGCAGATTCAATGTCAGTTTGGAATCTTCTTAGAGAATTTCGCATAAGAAAGGTTCACATGGCTGTTGTCCTTAACGAATATGGTGGAACCATTGGTGTATGTGCTATTCTCCTTATGTGCTTCTCTACTCTCTTTTTCACAATTTGCTAATCTCTCTCTTCTATCTAATTTGTTTCTGCAGATAGTAACTCTTGAAGATGTGGTGGAAGAGATTGTTGGTGAAATATTTGATGAAAATGATTCGAAAGTAAGTGTCCTTTGTATCAACTCTTTTACAAACAGTTCTTGACCTGCTGATATGCTAGACCTGTCTTATATAACTTGTTTGCCATTAGTAAGGCTCTATTTGTTCATTACTTAATTTCTCTACTCCATGTTTTTTTGACTCAATAGGAGGAGATTCAGAAGAAAACAGGGTATATTGTGATGAGAGACGAGGGGGTATACGATGTTGATGCTAATACATCAATTGATCAGCTATCTGAAGAATTGAATATAAAGATGCCAGAGGTAATGTAGTTTTTAGCAGTGTCTTTGATACCTCTTTAGTACGTCCTCAAGGCTACTTAGATGAACTTTGTGAAGTATTATAGACCCACAATGTTTGTTTGTTTTGTGGGAAGCAGGGGATTCAGTATGAGACAGTCTCAGGCTTTGTGTGTGAGGCCTTTGGGTATATCCCAAAAACGGGAGAAAGTATAAAGGTTGTTCTTGAAAAGGAAAACTGGGAAGAGCATGGTGAAGACGAGGAAGGTAACAAACAGGAGAAGCAGGATCCGAAGGAAAAACACCAAATCTATAGAGTTGAGGTATACTGAGTTACGATCATAATCACATTTCCTTTGGTTAAGCAAAAGTATCTTCGTTGTTTTGAACTGATACAAAAGTCATTATGGTGTACAGATTCTAGCAGGAAATGCAAGAAAAGTGAGTGCTGTCAGGTTTGAAAGAGTCAACGACATGGATCAAGTGTCGGAGGCAAAGGATGTAAGAAGCATGGTTCCTAAGTTTGTGAGGAAATGGAGCAGCGAAGAGGATGATGGGAACTCATCGTACCAAGAAAAACCCGAGGATGCCGTCTCAGATGAAGAACATGTATTGGCTGATAACAGCAACAAACAACATTGACATTGAGAAAACAGTTTTTTTTTTTTTTCAGTTTGAAAAGGAAAGAGGAACAAAAACAGACATTAGGGATGTCAAAGCTCTTTAACTCAAAATAAGAAGTAAGCTCACAAATACAAGAAGCTTTCTTCTTATCTTTCAATGTAATAATCATGAGAAAGTATGATTGGTTTGATCATGTGAATGTTCTTGCTGCCACTGATAAATGCTGAATACAGTTTTTATTGGTACAAATCGAACATTAGGTGATGAGTTTTTAATGTTATTGTTCTACTTCTATGAGTACGAGTTTTTTTTTGTTCTTTTACTTCTACTCAAATGTATAAAAGATTAACCTAAATGTTAGACATCATGAACTGAAACAAAACAATAAACTGAATAATACAATCTCTATCTCTCTCTTTTTCTCCACCATCTTTACCACCTTTCTCTCTATACAAACCTGAATCCAAAAGCTTTTTTAGCTCGAGTTTGATCAGAAGTTCCTCAGGTTTTAGCCTCTGTCTCCAAAACCAAAAGAGTTATTTTTCTTCTTCTTCTCTGTGGCATACACAACATTAGGCACTAGACTATACTAGCCTCTTCAGTGCCTCCACCACATTTGACACTGGTGGCCTAAGTCCAGGCTCCGACTGCAAAAAATAACAATAACAAGCCAGTCTCATAAACCTTTAACTTTTTATTTTTTTGAACACATAAACCTTTAACTTGAAAGACTTCTATAGAACTTATAAACACATAGAGAATGGTCAATGACTATACCATTACGCAGATGGAAACTATATCCGCAAATGCCGAGACAGATTCTGGAACGTAGAGTCCACACAAGGCAGGATCAACCATCTCCTCCAAAGTGGCCATTTCTTTAAGCTGCGGCTTTGCCCAACGAACCAGAGACTGTTCTGCTTTGGGCCTTTCACTGAAGATTAGAGGCAAGCAATGACATTTTCAGATACTTTGAGTAGTTCTATATGTTATACTATGAGACTATATTCTAAAGATATGTTTAGTAACTGAACCTGTCATAAGGCGTGCGACCGGTTAGCAGCTCCAGCATCACCACACCAAAGCTGTAGACATCACTCTTTAATGTGTAAGCTGAAGGATCTGTGCATTCTGGAGCATTGTATCCAACTCCTAGATTCTGACTTGTGCGCTAAAGTTTTCAAGAAAAGATATATTACTATACAGATTGGAAACAACAATGTATATCTATTTATAAAGAAGCTCACATGGTGAAAGTTTGCTAAGCCATAGTCTGAGAGGTGAGGAGTTAGCTCACTGTCCAGTAAAATGTTTGATGACTTGATGTTCTTGTGAACTAATGGAGGTGAACACACTTCATGAAGGTACCTGAAAAAAGTAGAATTTTACTTGTCAGTGAAGTAATTGGAAAGTTAGATGAAATGGTTAAGAAGACTAATTACTCTATAGCTTGAGCAGTTCCAAGAGCAATTCGGATTCTTGTGTTCCAAGTTAATGGTCTGCTGAAATCATCAGTCTGGTGAAGGAACCTGTTAAGTGATCCACTTGTGAAATACTCATAAACAAGCATGTTCCTTCCTTGTTCTGAACAATAACCCACAAGCTCAGCCATGTTAGGGTGGTGAATGCTGGAGATGTTGGACACTATGTGTGAGAAATCTTCCACATTCCTTTTCCCTAACAGTGAAGAATCAATCTCTTTCACTGCATATTTCTGTTTCAAAACAAATGTATGAATAAGATGATGAAGAAACAAGAATAAGAGGAAAGAAACTTAGAGTGGAAGGAGAGAAAACAAACCCTTCCATCTTCATATTTAGCTTTATAAACACGTCCAAGAGTTCCTTCACCAATAAGGCGATTAGGCGAGAAGCCAGAAGCAGAGTTCTGAAGCTCCATAAGCGTAAAAGCTTTCACACCGCGTGTGTCAGGAGAGTCTTCAAGGCTAGAGAAACGACCAGGGGTTGCATCCACTTGTGTAGAAGAAGGTATGAGATGAAAAGTAGGAGAGTTCTTGAAACTAACTGATGATGTTCTTCTAACAGAAGAAGGTTTTGTATCTGTTGAAGCATTGGAATCAACAGTCTTCTGGCCTTTGAAGTCATCCATAGAGTCATACTGAAGAACCTGAGAAGGTTGTGGTGTGAAGAGTGGTTTGCTTCTGTTGTGTCCTCCTTTCTCTTCATCGAAAAAGTGAGAAGAATGATGAGAGTTCTTTCTTCTAGCGAACAATGCAATCACTCCTGCTGTGAAAATGAGTCCACCTATAGTGGATACTGCTACTATAAGTCCTGTGGTTAGAGCCTTGCTGCTTACTCCAGTAGCTCCTGAGTTTCTGTCTACACGGCGAGTCCCGGGAGGTGGTGAGGGAGCTTTACTGCTTGACCAACGGTTTCCTCCAGTTCTGATCAAGAAGTTTAAAGAAAACAAACTTAATGACATTTCTTTTGACCGTTATCAATAGAGAATGAGAGATGAAACATACTCAAGGTTTCCTATGTTCTTTAGCTCGTTTGGGATCCAACCAGTGAACTGATTGTTTGCAACGTTTCTGTCATTGTCAAGATTCATTAGAAACACTAGTTTTGAAGGATGGGTAAGAAACTTGTGTTATTAGTACTTACACATCATCGATTTGAGGGAGGTCCCTGAGTGAATTTATAGAGCCTTTGAATTGATTGTCTTGTAAATGTCTGTAAAAGAGAGTAAAAGGTGAGTAACAACAATACAAGAAGTACTTTCAAATGTCTTCTTCTTTCTCTTACATTGTTTTAAGTCCTGTTAGATTTGCAAAACTCTGTGGTAGTTTTCCTGTGAGTTGATTAGAAGACAGATCACTGCAAAAACATAAACTCAATTAATGAAAACTCTCAGAGTTAGCATGTGTAGGTATGTGACTGACTCACATTGTTTCAAGTTTTGGAAGCTTTTGAAACATGTCGCTAAGTTCACCATTGAGGTTGTTACGACCAAAGTTTCTGAGCCATAAAAACAAGAACGGTATGAACAAATGATAACACTTGGGGAAATGAATTCAGTTTAATTGTCTATGGCTTACAGGTAAGTGAGGTCGTTCATGAGAGATACTGAGTATGGCACATTACCGTTGAAGTCATTCTCAGAGGCATCTCTGCATTGAAAAAAAGTTTCACATATGAGTCTCTAACACATTGTGTAGTGAACATCAAAAGAACTTGAAAAAAATGGTTTAAATTTTAAATATACTTACAGATAAATAAGATTCTCAGGAAGCTGATAGGGTAAGTTTCCGTTAAGATTATTCTTGCTTACATCACTGTTACACAATGACAAAAACATAACATGTAGTTTAAATACCAACCTAAACATGATGATCAAGATGTTGAGAGTTCTTACAGGTAAGTGAGTGATTTCAAGTTTGCGAGCTGGTAACCTAAAGATCCACTGAGTCCACGTCCGGACACCTTTCTGCAAATAACAAAAGGAGAAACAAATTTAGAAGCCATGAAGAGACAAAACCATTTGATGAGATGAGAGAGAGGAAGTAACAAACATTTCAGTAACAGAAGAGCCTTTGCAAGTAATGCCATCCCATGAGTCACCACAAGGATCACCTCCACTTGAAGACCAGCCATTGAGTTTTGATGGAGAGTTCATGCTCTTATAAGCGTCATTAAGAGCCGAAACTACAAAAAATCCAAATAACCATTTATAAATTATAAATCAGCACAGAAGATGTTTTGTTACATAGCCATTTAAAAAAAAAGATTGATAGATTGAATAAGACACATACCATCTTGGCTATCTGTTTTTGCAAGAACAAGGGAGGTGAAGATTCCAAAACATGCAATGAAGAGTATTAACGGCTGCAGATTGGGTGCCATTTTGAGCATTAGAGTTCAAGAATCTGCGGGAAAGCAAAAGAGATGATCCAAAGAGAAACCCAGCGTTGGTTCCGGGTTTCCTTGGGGATGAAGGAAACACAGGAAAACCAAAGGAGAGGAAGCTAGATAGGTCATGAAAGAAAGAACAAAACAAATTTTGGAAATGGGGAGTTGTGGCAGCTAACCTAAAATGGCATATTCAGTTTCTTCTGTTAATTGTTATGACGTTATATTTGAGTGAAAAGGCGAATAAATCTGGACGTGTGAATAGAGAGATGTACAGCTAATAATGAAGCATGCACCGAAACATTAGGAGAGAGACCACAACTGTGTCCTGAGTCCGATCTAACTGCAAACACACATTTAATACCAAAGTTGTTTCAACATATATTCAAGCACACGTGTGGACTAGTGCTGGGGATTCCGGTTATTGATTTGGGTCAGTCCTGGTTATTCGGGTTAGGGTGTTTAGGACCTATTTAGGAACATAACATAATTTAGACCTGATCAGTTCGGTTAATGTCTGGTTCAAGTCGGATTTCTATTTTTGTTTATAAAACTCAAAATAAAACCGAATTAGCAATAGTTTTTCAGGCTTGATTTTGATTTAAAGCTGAAAAAACCGAAAAGACCTTGATAACTCAAATTAAACCCGAAAAAACTAATGTTTTGGATAACTAGTTGCATATTCCCCGCGCAAGCGTGGGGCTGGGATCATTGTGTTTGCGTGTATTTTTTTTTCGATTTTTGCTTTAGTGGATTCTTCTAATGACACCAAATAATAATGAAATGGAAAGAATGTATAAGACTGTAAAGTGAAACTATTGTATATATATTGTGTTAAATGTTATTTATATGCGAAGTAAGGTTTATAGGAATAGTTAGGCTATAATATAGTTTTAGTGTGTATAAGTAGGTGTATATTTTGTTATTGCTGTAAATAGTTTTTATATCGTAGGGCAAAATTTGATATAATTCTATATTTATAGTATTTATATTTGTATTAAACGATTTATCAATTTGAAAATAACCTTAATTAAGTTAATATTTGTTGTTTAAGTTTCATTAGATAGGTTTTTATATATGGTTTTTTGTAAGTTTGAGTTTTGTTCATAAATGTTGTGGCATTTTTATCTATGGCGTCATCGACTGTGGGAATCCATTCACCGGAGTCTGGAGTCGGTGGTGAGGAATGTTTTCAATGAAATTATAGTAGTTATTAAAATGTAAGAGAATTTACATATTCATTTAATAAATAACGAAAATTACTTAAATTTTGTTGTTTATTTTATTTTATTTCACATACAAAATTATTTATATATTAAGAATGTGTTAATGTTTTTATATGCAAAGTAAGGTTTATAGGAATATAGACTATAATATAGTTTTTAGTTTGTAAAAGTAGGTGTTTTGTTGCTGTAAA